TCTCAATAAATTTTTTTTGTTAATAGAATAGTAAACAACATTTTTTTTATTTTCAGGTGTTTCAAAATATGTAACAATTAAATGCTGGATTAAAATCGATAGTGCTTGGCGAGCTAGATTCCTAGAAACACCAGATTCTTTTAATAAAAAAGACAAGTTCACTCTTTGTCTTTGTAAAAGAACTGATCCTATTTTCTGAAAGCATTAAATAAATAAAATACAAGTTAGAGAAATCCAAAGAGCTAAACTTACTTCAACGATCGGACCAAAATTCTCACGGAGAATCTGACAGCATAATATATATTCTTCTTTAAACATTTCCGTAAATGCCGAAAGGATGGATTTTGCGCAGTAAAAGAGTTATTTTATATTCAATTTGAATATCAGGTTATAGTTTTGTTAGAATAATATTCAGACTGTAGAAATGTTTTTTATTTAAGGAGTCAGATCATTAATAGGTATTAAATGGAAGAGTTAAATCTGATGATACATTGCTACATTTAAAGAAAAAACCAATATTTATATAGGCTCGATTATATTGTATTAAGAGATGGAGCAGTCTATTTTAAAGAGATAATAGCTAAAAGTATAAGCTAGCAAATAAGGTCAAATTGTAGAAAAAAGTTTTGCTTGCTTAAAAATTGACTGTTTAAAATAATTATTAAAAACATATCAATTCTATTGGTCAGATCAGAATTAATCAGTTTAAAATTAAATTAAAAAATATTATTGGCTCATGTTAATCTGAGTCTAAGCCCAATTGGCTCGAAAAGCAATCGGTTGTATCAAAAGCAATCAAATTTAAGCAAAGTTGTGTGTGCATTTAAATGTTTATTGTGCGGTAAACGCCAAGTTTACATGAGTAATCAAATTTAATGCTTTAACCGTTGTAATTAATATGTTAGTGGTTAAAGAGTTTTGTAAATATTTACTTGTAGCAATGAAGATATATATCTAACTTTAAAACTTTATAAACGGATAAAGCTTTAATATTTATTTGATAATAGTTTAATATATATCTATCCCTT